TAGTCCCTGTATTTCCATTTTGTTCAGAAAGTGGTTGTCAGGCTTTGAGGCCATCCGGAGCAGCATTGTCAGTGACAGCCCAGTCGAGACGCGATTGTACCTTGAATCGAGCCGGTCTTTTATTGACAAATACAGTGCGCCAAGGCGGAGATGGGGATGCTCTATTGTCTGCTCCGGGAGGAGTGCGGCTTTTCTCCTGGCGCTCCTGGTGACATTTGAGAAGGATAGTTCTGGGCTGAGTGGAGTTCCCTGCGCCAGCACATAGAACCATAGAACAGTTCAGGTTGGAAAAGACCCTTGGGATCATCGAGTCCAACCATTAACCCTACGCTACAAGGCCGCCCCTAAACCATCTCACCCAACACCACATCTAAGCGACACTTGAATGCATCCAGGGATGGCGACTCAACCCCCTCCCTAGGCAGTGTGTTCCAGGGTCTGACCACTCTTCACTCTTTCTGTGAAGAATTTCTTCCTAATGTCCAGCCTAAACCTGCACTGTTGCAACTTGAAACCGTTCCCCCTGGTTCTGTCCCTAATTCCCTGTGAGAAGAGACCAGCACCAACCTCTCTACAGTGTCCTTTCAAGTAACTGTAGAGCATGATGAGGTTCCCCCCTCAGCCTCCTCTTCGTCAAACTGAACAGCCCCAGCTCCCTCAGTCGATCCTCGTAAGGTCTGTTCTCCAATATGGTGCTGTCTTTACAAACCTGCTAGTCTTCTTAAGCTTCTTTGCCCTGCAGAGCTGTCTGCTATGGGGTCCCACCTACCAGTTCCCCAAATAAGGTGAAGTCTGGTCTCCTGAAGCCTGAGATCTCTGTAACTGTCCTTCCACACTCCCCTCAAGATCTTGTGCTTCTCTATTTCATGGTCACAAAAGCCAAGGTTACCACTGATTATCACATATCCAGCCAGTTATTCCCTGCTTGTAAAGAGCAAATCTAGCTGTGTGTCACTCTTGGTTGGTCCATCCAATCACAGAATCACAGAGTCAGGGGAGCTGAAAATGTCTCTGAATGAGTACGTATGCTGCACGCAGAAGCACGTGTTTACCTGTGATTTATGCTAGCTTTGGTAAACCACATCCACCTACCAAAGTTAACTGTCAAGAGTAATAGGGACTTTGATAATCAGCCTTAATTGCACGCAAGCACCAAAGAATCAAGGGGCAAGAATTGAGGCAAAACACAAGAAATTCCTGTGCCTCTTGTGGCATCCATTACACTTCTTTATCATCTCTTCCGCAATCTCTTATGTGCTACTACTTCTGCTTTGGCACTGGAGTGCAATTCTCCTTTCTTCCCGTGCTGGCACAGATTCCCCTGTACTCCCACAGTTTTTAACTGGCACTTTGAGGGCAACCCCCTCACACTTGTGCATTTTCTACAGCATCTTTCTTACGTTGTCCTGACTGCAGACAATACTACTGTCATCTTTCTCAGATTCAGGCTGCAAATTATGGGAGCTTGGGATCATATTAGTTCTTAACTATCATTAGTTACATGTGTATCTGCAGTTCTGCCAGCAGGGAAAGAAATTGAGCTGACTTGAGAGCCACACTTAGTGCCTTTTTTTAACAGAGAAGAGAGAAAATTTGCAGTGTCAGTTTTTAATTTCATTGTGGTTTGCAAAGCAACGTGACTTTAAACTCACTGGTCATTATATCTAGAATTTGTTTCATCTTTCCATCCCTGAAGACTCTTTTCTGCTCTGGAAATCTCAAGAGATTTGAGAACGAAAAACCCATCTGCGTGTTACTCATCTCTTCAGCTCGTGTGAGCGACAAATAAAAGCGCTGGTTCCTGATAGTGCAATAGCTGTGACATGGTTTGGACTGTTTAGTCCCACCTCTTTCATTACCCAGTTTGGTTGGTCACACTCTGATATAACACGCAAGCCCCTGGCAGGCTGGGTGCTGCTGATACTGGAAATGGGAAGATGAGCTTACGGTGTAGGCAAGTTGACAAGGGCAACTGGAAAGAAACTGGTTTGTGTCTGCTTTGAGGCAGAGTTAACATTTTTGTGAAGAAACCTTTGTCATTCTGCTGGGGAGTCCAATGGCCATGAGTGGTGGAGCTGCGATGTTCTTTCATGGCTTTGTAGAGTAAAGGAGCACGTTAAATCCTGAGAGGATAGCTGAGATTTTTTCTGTATGTTTTTTTTTTTGTAAACGTGTTCTACATATTGAGGAATATAAACTTGGTTCAATATTTGTAAATTGAATAGTGTGTTGGCTATTTCTGTGTGAAACAGATGAAATAAAACTTCTTGGACACAGTAACCTGTACATGGCTTAAGAGAGAAATTTTTGCCTGAGCATTTTTGGGAAAGCCTTTATCACTAAGTTTCCCCAGTGACCTTATGTGTATTCAATCAGTGTGATTAATCTTTGGTAGAAATGCATTGGTTGTGCAGAGAAGGGTGAACCTAATCCAAGAAACCTGTTTTACAATTTCTGCTTCTAGGAGGATGAAGTTTATTTTTTTCATCTGTTGTTTCTGAGTTTGAAAAAAAGCAACAGCCAGAAACTATAGTGGGAAGAGATGAAAGAATATAGATTAAAATTTTTGTAGTTACTCCTGCTGCTTGAATGACTGCTGTCCCTCAATATCAAAGAATCATAGACTGTCTTAGGTTGGAAGGGACCTTAGAGATCAGCTAATCCAACCCCTGTGCCATGGGTGAGAAAGCCCTTAACTAGACCACGTTGCTCAAGGCCTCATCCAACCTGACCTTGACCAGCTCCAGGGAGGGGGCATCCACAACGTCTCTGGGCAATCTGTTCCAGAATCTTGCCACCCTTGCACTGAAGAATTTCTTCCTAAGACCCAGTCTAAACCTGTTCTCCTTCAATTTAAACCCATTTTCCCTTGTCCTGTTGGTGGACACTCTTGTGAGAAGACCCTCTTCAACCTTCTTGTAGGTTGCTTTCAGGTTTTGGAAGGCAGTTATAAGGTCCCCACAGAATCTTGTCTTCTCCAGGCTGAACAATCCCAGCTCCCTCAGCCTGTCCTTGTAGCAGACATGCTCCAGCATCTTTGTGGCCCTCTCTGATCTTGCTCCAACAGATCTATGTCCCTCTTATGGTGGGGACACCAGAACACAGTAGTTGAGGTGGGGTCTCACAAGAGCAGAGTAAAGGGGGAGAATC